CGTACAATTCCCTCGGGCTCAGTTTGCCCCTGTTTGGGCCATACACCGGCATTGAGACTTCTGTTATCCCTCTTTCAATCATGAAGTCTCGTAATCTTGTTAGTGCCAATATCACGTGTTCGGGATCGATTGTGTTCCTGTCATTGACCCTCGTTACTAGGAAGCACAGATATTTGCCCGGGACTTGTGCCACTGATGGTGGAAGCGCTGCCATCCCTCCCAGTCCTGGTCTCTGTCTGAACAGAAACTCTACATTCTGGTACTCTCTTTTGAAGTCAGCTTCCAATCTTGATTTGAAACTCATGTCCGCCGTGATGCAGATCGCGCTGGTCCTGTTTGACAGGATGAAGTCGCTATCCGTTATCATGATGTTCTCCGAGTATTCATTGGGTATTTCGAATTTCGTTTTGAAATTCCGACCTATAGTAGGCTCTGGCTCTTCTTCCTCCAGTTCCAATTCACTCGTTTCTCTCACTTCCTTGAGCTTCTTTATCATCATATTTTCGGTGTGGGTAAGTCCTACCCCCACTCCCCGGACAAAAATATTTATCGACGTCCCCGTCGATGTTGTCGGGTTTGAATTGTCCTGAGGAACGTGCAGTGGCCTGTCCGTTGCCGTCCATCCGAAAAGAGGGTCTTCTGTCTTCATGTAATTTGCTGCTGATACATCGACTTGCTGAATGCTTTGTCCTTCGCGGCTCTCGTCTTTGACATCACGCATCCACTCTAGAATCCTCAAGTTCGTGTTCTCCCTCCTCTCTATCTCACTCTGTTCGAGATCCGTTTCTAATTCTGGCGTCGAGTAGTCATCCTGCGGATAATGACCACCATCGTCAATGACCTGCCAATCCTCTCCTGCTTCCAGTTCGCCTGCCTTCAGTAATTCCTCGCCCAATTTGTCTGGCTGTATCTTATCGATCAAGAAGTCATCCCCGTACCTGTTGTACCTCATGCCTGTGCGTTTACGATTGCCAGTCCTGGTTTCCGGTGGTGTTGTTCGATCCGGTTCCATCCATTTCGGCACCTCGTCTTGCTCCGGGTCGTTCCAGTCTTCTTCTACAAATGATCCTGCATCAGACTCCACTCCTATCTTTTCATTGTCGTCCAAACTCAAGTTCTCATTACCATCATTTTTCTCTCTAGTGCCTTTCTCATTCACTTCACACGCTGGCTCTACCACCAGGTACTCAAGACCCTCCATGTCCTTCGGTATGCACCAATCCTCTGGGGATGGGACGTGAGGCTTCAGATTTTCATAATGTGCCGCTCGCCCAGTACTCAAGCGATAGAACCGTCCTTGTTGATGAACCTCCGTTATCATGAATGGTCCCCTCCACTTCTTGAGCAGTTTCTTTGTTCCCTTGGGCGGTATTACATTTTGGAAGACCCACACATATTGGCCCACTTCATATGGTTTTGCTCTTAATATTTTTTCGTCATATTTCCTACGTTGCCTCATTTGCGCTTGCGCCGTGTTCCTCCTGCATAGCTCGTTCAACTCCTGTTGTCTTTTGATCGCTTCTTTCACGTATGCCTGAGGCGACGTCCTTTTCCCCTCGTATTCTGGGTAAAAGAATGTCAGAGGCATTGCTCTCTCCCTGTCTGTCAACATCATGAAAGGACTGATGCCCGTAGTTGAGTGCTGTGTACTGTTGTAGGCTCCTACTACCTGTGGCAGGTATTTGTCCCAGTCCGTCATGTATCTTGAGTCGTACACCCTTAACATGTTGACCAGTGTCCTGTTTTGTCTCTCTACCAACCCATTGGTCTGCGGATGATAGGTCGTCGAGTGTGCTTGAGCAATGTGCGATCTCTTCATCAATTCTTTTGTCAAGTCCCCCACGAAAGCTTTGCCGTTGTCCGACTGGAAAGTCATTGGACAACCATACCGCGATATCCAATGCGTTATCAGATGATCACATGTCTCTTCGGCCGAGGCTGTCTGGCACGGAACCGCTTCCGCCAACTTTGTAAAGTGATCTATTATAACCAGTATCTGGTTGTATCCCGACTCTGTCATGCAGATTTTTTGATGGTCTATCTGCACCACTTCATTGAACTCTGAGCTCTCAACTGACTTGAGTGGAAACTTCATCTTCCTCGGGTCTTTTACCTGGAGACATGCCAGGCAGGCATTCACCCATCTCTCGCAAGCTTTTCTCATTCCTGGCCAATCAAATCTGTGAAGTATCCTTTGTTGTACTTTGTCTATCCCCTGGTGACCCATCTGGTCGTGTGATCTGAAAACCACCTCTGTCTGGTACAATTGTGGTAGTATGATGAGGTTGTGTTTGTGTAATATCTTTTCCTCATCTCTCCTCTTGCACGCTACCACTCCATCAGCTGTGTGATAAAGTAAGTCTTTCTTTTCTTTGTAGAACTGGCTCAAGATCTTGTAGCTGTCTTCTTCAAGTTCCCCCTTCTCCTTGACCCCCGACTGGATCCATTTGGAGAGGTTACTTGTCATTTTGTCATTCTTCTGGGCTCTTATTAAGTCTGACAGCCTATATCTTGCCTTGACATGCTCCTTTAGCGCCATGATCTGTCCATTCATCTCACCAGGGTTGTGGATGTCATCACTCAGTTTCACGCATATCATCCTTTTCACGATTTTCATATCATCTTCTGGCACCAGATTCGTTCTGATGTTTGAGTTGCATGATAGTTCCCTGAATGGTTTCCTTGCGACCGCAATTTTCTCAAGTTCCTCACCACCTCGCATCTCCTGTATGTCCATGTTGTATGTTCCTGAAGATGGATCCGTCTGTAACTCCCTGTCGTGGTGCCTTGTCTTCTCTTCCGCCAGTATCATGCACAGACTGTCCTGGCTTTCGCTGCTCTCATCCGAGTCTTCATCCCATCCTTCACGCTCCCCGGACAATTTTCCTTCTCCGGTTCCTTCTTCCGTGAACCTGGAACACTCCCCGGACTCTTGACCTAGTCCCAGGTGTTCAGTATCTTCCTTGAACGTCACTTTCTTTTTCCTAACCCTGGTCTGCTCCAGAATGTCTTCGGGGATTTTGTCAACTAGTGACCGCACGACATCTTTGCTGTCAGTGACGCTTCCTCTTGATGAGTCAGTATCGTTCACTGTCTCTTTTCTCCGAAGTATAGTGAATTCCGGTTTCTCTGTACCCTTCTCCTGGATCACTGGCTTATCATCTGATAGTTTCTCGAGCAACCTCATCAAGTCATCGTCTATCTGTGCAGTTCCTGCTTCCACCTGGTTAAGATCATAGCCTTTTGCCTTGAGCGTCTCCTTCACGATCTTCGACTTGAGTATAATCTCAATCGGAATCCTCTTGCTCTTCCTCAAGATGGTCTTCTCTGGAGGCTCTTTAGGCAATTCAGGATGATCTTCTATCGGTTTGCCTGACTTGTCCAGCCATCTCGCGAGTGGAAGACTGTCGTACGTTTCCTTGTCCATGAATGAGAAGCCATCTTTGATTTCAGGTCTGTCTGCTTCTCTTTGCTCTTGTCTCTCATAGAACTCCGTCTTCTTACTCAAGCTGTCGGCATTCTGATGTTTATCTCGGGATCTATGCTCAATTATCATGTTGTATCCGTCCAGGCGAACTATCCACCTCCCAATGTAACTTTGGTCCATTGAGTACGTTTTCAGCCAGCTCAGTGCTCTGTTGTCGACTCGCAACTTGAATGGCTCACTGCCCAGGTATGCCCTGTATTTCTCGACAAAGGTAACCACCGCGAACATCTCAGCTTTCGGTGCTCCGTACTTCATTTCCGTGTCACTCAGGACTTTGCTCCCGTACGCTATTGGTCTCAAGACTGTCCTCCCATTCCATTCTTGTTCTTGGTGGAGAATCCCAGAAATCGCGACTACCGACGCATCCGTGTCCAGCACGTACATCCCTTTCTCCGTCGGCATACCCAGTACTGGTGCCTCACATAGCTCTTTCTTTATTCTCTGGAATGAATCTTCTGCCGCATTGTTCCACATGAATTTCTTGCCCTTGTGCCTCATCAGTTGTTGCATCGGGTACACTTTGTCCGCATAGCCCCTAGTTAACTCCCTGTAATAGTTCGCAAAACCCAAGAAGCTCATCAGTTGATGTTCCGTTTTTGGCGATTTCCAGGTCAGAACAGCGTCTACGGCATCTGGGTCTGGTCTAATGCCATGTTTGTCTACCATTCTTACCAGATATTTGATCGAGTCCTTGAGAATTTCTCAATTCGATTGCTTGCACTTCAGTCCTGCTCTCTTTATACAAGCAAACACCTCGTCCAGTCGTTCAATGTGGTCCTTCAGTGTGGGTGTTGCAATCACTAAGTAATCTCCGTCGCACATTACTAAATTGCCATATTTCTTCGTCACGCTAGTCAGCGCTTGTGCCATTAGTCGTTGGAAGCTGGCTATCGCATGCAGAGGCCAAAGGGCATCCTCTTCCATTGAAACAATCCCAGTTCGCATGCAAACCCGTGTTATCTCTGTCTTGCTTCCTCAGTGGTACCTGCCAAAAAGCGGACCCTAGATCAAGAGTTGTGAAAATTTTTTGCGTCACCTAATTTTGAGACACTTTCATCCATCCTAGCTATGGGATAGGCATCCTTCACCGTGACGGATTTAGAAATCGAAAGTCACAACCAAATCTAAGATGGTCTCCTTTCTTTTTAGCCATCCCTACTTGGATGGTTCTATCATGTCATACTCTAGTAGGGTCTCTACTTCTTTTCTACAAGCATCTGATTTGTTTGGTGTCATACGCCTCGCACCCTCCCTGTGTGGTACCGCGTTTTCCTCAAGTTCTATTTCATGCTCAACGAAATTGCAACACCCGATATCCGCCTTATGCCTCGAAAAACTTCCTCGTTCCGCTCTAGTACGTCCTTGATGGCTTCGAGCTGTTCATCTTTCAGTTTGCCCCTCAAATGTTCAATCTCCGGCAGAACCGGTTTTTCATTTTGCATTTCATCTAGTGTGGGTCGCTCTGGAAAGTTCGAACAGCTCGAAAGACCATCATCCGTTTCTGACTTAAGTGATTTAATAAGACCTGAAGAATCTTTTATTTTCCGCAATCGTCTCAAGATACAAATTTTGTCCCTGTGATTGGGACAATCAACAACTTCATTTTGTTTTGAGTTCTCAATTGTTTCATGTCGAGTTTTAACCGGTAAAGCATATCCCAGTTTCCTCCCTCTCTGTATCGTGATCGGTATATCAAGGGTATTCAACAAGACACTGACGCAGAGGCCGCTCTTCGTTATCGAAAATGATCTTCCTAAAACAGCAGCACTTTGACTATTAGGATTCGGAACTATGCACACTTGCTTGTTGTCACTTAGTTCATTGTAATTTTTCATCCTCAAACTTACGATTGCCGCTTCATTAGCTTTTAGCCTCACCCTCCTACTCAAGAATACCGGTGCTTTGTTTTCATTTGCCATTATTAAATTTACCGGTTTGACCGCGTACCTCCTATCCGGGTTCCGTATCCTGAACATTGCGTTATTTAGATCAATCGTTACGTCGAAATTCCTGATGAAGTCTCTGCCCAAAATGAATTGGTCAGATTCATCTAGGTTTTCTACCACGATAAAGCTCATCCACAGGTTACGTTCCCCCAAATTGAGGGCTATTATCGGCGTCCTGCCCAGCACCCGTAGGGCCCCTTTGTTTGCAGCTGACAGCCGTATTCTCGAGTCTATCAAGTCACCTTTGTCAAAGCCCATCTTCTCCCAAGTTTCGATTGGTATAACGCTCAAGACTGCTCCCGTGTCAAGCAACCCACGCAACTGAGTCTTTTTGCCACTTATATCCAGCACGTGCCCTGTCACATCTGCCTCCGTCCCGATGTGCATTGCATCTTCCTCAAGCATGGCGCAGTGTCCAATCGATCTCACTTTCAATTCTTCTTTCCCTACGTAGATTTGTCCAATTAGGTCTTCGTCACATGTTATCATCGTCTTGGTATAGATGTTAATCCCATCTATATTTAGCATCACCTCGTGTGGACCGTAAGCTTCAGTATATCTGCTATCAACACGTACCGATTTGCTGCCCCCTCTCATGAGTAGTGCTCTCAGTGCTCTAGAAGTCGTTTGTGGGCTTATACCACTCAAATAGTCTGCATACACGTCAATGTGCATTATCTTCTGGTCGCTCGGCTCGCTCAAGTTTCTGGTTACCTCGTGGCCGCCCACTGTGATTATCGACATTACCCTTGTCCCGATTTTCGATATGCCAAAATGTTTACCTGTCACCATTTTCACAGTATTGCAATTCCCGGTCTTTGTTGAGCCTGGTACAGCCTCTGGTATTTGTTTCGATCCGGTTAATGCTTCGTTAAAATTCTGTCTTTCTATCTCCAGCTTTAGTCGTTGCTCTATTTCTTTCGCAGCCAGATCCTGTTTCACTTTGGCAATTGCTTCCGTCGCCGCTTTCTCATAATTTATCTCTAGAGAGATCCCTGCCGCGGATTCTATGGCATCATTAACATGTGATACAGCTTTCACTGTCTTCGTCGGCAATTCCGTGCTTGGTGCTCCTAAGTTCCTCGATTCAAATTCGTTTTGCCTGTTCCGCTGATTCTGCACCGCCGCTAATGCCAACTTTTGTTTAGGGTGACTCTGGTCCTTGACCGCTTCCCAGAACAAGGGACAATCCATTCGGAAGTGCCCCTCCTGGTTACAGAAGAAGCATCTTGCGCCTATCTTGATGATTAAGCCACTATAGTACTCGTGTTCCTCCATCTGGCTCATGTCCTCCTCATCTGGTGCATATCCTAGACTCTTCATGCCTTGTTTGTATGTTGTGCAGTCAGCCACGTGGTGATCCGCCGACCCGCAGTTCGCGCATGATCTGCGCTTGTCCATGTCATCTCTAGGTTTGTACCATGACGACCTCTGCGGTTGACTTCCCCCTTGCGTGTTCCTGTTTTCTGAATACGAGTATTTCTTGGGTTTCATCAGCATGTATTCCCTTGATTTCTGTCTCATTTCTTCTGGGGTTGGTGCGCTGTCTTTCGACAATGTGTAGTATGTTGCTAACATTGTCCTTAAGTCGTCACTTTTTACCCCATCAATGAACTTCGAGGCAATGCTAAAGTTTCTTCTGTTTGTCGACTCCTCTGGGTCACTCCTTCTTCTCAAGCTCTCGAGATCATCTAGGAACCGATCTATTGACTCGTCGTCCCTCTGCCTTCTCTTTTCAAATCGCATCATCGCTTGGTGACCCTTCATGCCTGACCCGAATCGATTCAGCAATATCTCGAAGAACTTGTCCGCGGTATCGCGTTCTTCTTCTTTCTTCGCAACCACGCATTTTAATGCTGTGCCTTCTAAATTGCTGAGTATGGCTGTGCATGCTTGTCTTTCATCGTTCAAGTTGTCTTGCTCTAGATGTAATCTCATCACTTCCACCCACGTGTCAATGCATCCATCTGAGTCGTCTTTGAATTCTTTTGGCTTCTTGAATGTTTTTCTTGATTTCCCATCTCTCCTATCGCTCGAGTTAAGGTTCCTCGTGGCGAAGGCCTCTAGAGTCCTGTTCATCATCTCCCAAGTGTTTGCCCATGTCATAGCATCCGGACCTGCGTTGCTGTTAGCTGTTGAGTCCCCCGGACCAGTCGTTGTACTTGACATTCCATTCTTCATGATTGTTTTAGCAGCTGTTGGTGCTATGCTCACCGTATCCCGGGTTAAGGGCAACGGTGTCGATTGCCGTTTGTTCCTTTGTGGTTCTACAAAGTCAACTCTGGTGCCTTGCGTGCGATCCGCTGCCGGTCTTTCTTGTGAGGTAGAATTACTCAAGATTGCATCCAGTTTCGCCTGTATTGCACACGAACTCTCGGCCTGATTTTTGCTCATTGTGTCCATTCTCTTTTCCAGGCTACCTAATTGGCTGTTGACATCATCATATCGGTTTTTTAACTGTTGCAAATCTTTTTTGATGTTCTTATCTCGTTCTTCATTGGTGGTTTCTACATTATCTGACATCTCCTTGAGTCTCTCTTCTGTTGCCTTGGCCAGGTTAAAATAACTATCCAGATACTCGTTTTTGTTGTATCTTAATTCTTTTCTTATCACTTCTGTCCTCTTCGCTGTGCTTCAGCTTTTTGTCGATCTGATTCAGTTTCGCCATCAAGTCACCTAGCTCAAGAGTAGCCTCTTCATGGTCAGCCGTCGGTCTTTCTTCGGCCGTCGCTTCTGCTCTAGTTTGTTCCTCTCTCGGATTGGCTTCTGTCGTCTTCGTGCTCACTGTTCCAAATGTTCGTGCTCTTTCAGCCTTTGGTTCTTCAGTCACGTTCTCTTTCGTTTTTATTCCGACCATCATCGCCAACCTTTCTGTAAAAGATGTCTTTTTTACTTGAGAGTCTTCTTTCCTCGTTTCTTCGGTGTTGCCTATTGCATCTTCCACGTTGTCTATTGGTGAGAATTCGATGGGTTTCGAGTTTGGTTCTTCTGCATTGGGCATTGGAGTAGACTCCGTCGCTATTTTCCTTGTTTCATCAACACTTTGATCAGGTGTCTCTAGATCAATCTCGATGGTGAGTTCTACTCGTTCCCCTTCCATGCCCTCTCTTGCTCTCTCCGTTGTACTCCTTGTGCTGACCATATTAACTGAAAAGCTCTTCTTTGTTATCTTCGGACCCATTGATGTTGTTTTGCGTAGCGACGAATTATACTTTGCTTCGGTAGGTCTTTTTTCAGCTACCGGTACCCTGCTCCGCCTCATTATTTCTATTTACAATTGCTCTTATTTACAATTTTACTATATACACAATCCTATTCTAAGAATAAAATCTTTCGAGAGGAAAAAAAAATTTCTTAAAAAAAAATATACAACGTGTTGAAAACCTTATTTCAGCTCTCTTTATTAACTTTTCGAGAAACTTTCCTTATTTGTGGTCTCAACCGTACCTGGTTCCAATTAGTCTTGTTCTACCTTAATTCTGTCTTAAAACACTTCTTGTAATTTTACTTCAATTTTTATACTGTCCCAAGACTTCCAATTGCCGTCCCTACTCTTCTTTGTACCGTCCCAGGCTTCTTTCTCCTGTCCCAAGACTGTTCGGTACCGTCCCAGTACTTTCCGGCAGTGTCCCAAGACTCTTGTCCAAGACTAGTGTCCCAAGACTACTGTCCCAAGACTAGTGTCCCAAGACTAGTGTTCCAAGACTACTGTCCCAAGACTAGTGTCCCAAGACTACTGTCCCAAGACTACTGTCCCAAGACTACTGTCCCAAGACTAGTGTCCCAAGGCTAGTGTCCCATGACTACTGTCCCAAGACTAGTGTCCCAAGACTAGTGTCCCAAGACTACTGTCCCAAGACCCCTGTCCCAAGACCCCTGTCCCAAGACCCTGTCCCAAGACCCTCGTCCCAAGACCCTGTCCCAAGACCCTGTCTCAAGACCCTGTCCCAAGACCCTGTCCCAAGACCCTTGTCCCAAGACCTTGTCCCAAGACCCTGTCCCAAGACCTTGTCCCAAGACCCTGTCCCAAGACCCTGTCCCAAGACCCTTGTCCCAAGACCCTTGTCCCAAGACCTTGTCCCAAGACCCTGTCCCAAGACCTTGTCCCAAGACCCTGTCCCAAGACCCTGTCCCAAGACCCTTGTCCCAAGACCTTGTCCCAAGACCTTGTCCCGAAACCATGTCCCAAGACCCTTGTCCCAAGACCCTTGTCCCAAGACCCTGTCCCAAGACCCTGTCCCAAGACCACTGTCCCAAGACTGTACTGTCCCAAGACTGTCCCCAGACTGCTCTGTCCTAGGACTTCTTCGGCACTGTCCCAAGACTGTTGACAAGTGTCTGGGTGGTGGGACTTCTTTCCTCTTCGTTATGGGGACTTCTTGATTCACTGTACCTTGTACCACCACTCAAGCTCTAGTAAAATTTTCCCAAAATCCTCTCTTAAAAGCCAAAGGCTGACCCCCCTTTTTCTTATTTCTCTTTTTGGCTACCTCTATTTCAATGTTCCAAGTAACTTGAGACCAAAACCTGTGCGCAGGTATCTTGTGATCACCTGTTCGTACAAAATTTTAACACAA